TATTTCCAAAGATGAGTGGGAAGTAGGCTGGTCTGATATTACTGCTAAAGTTGATATTATGGCAAAGAGAATAAGCATGGAAGAGTTAGAGTGTCAAAGGGGACCTATTGAAGATCTAACTATCCAGGATACTCAACAGCCAGATTGTGAAGAGGATGAATTTACTCTAGTTACTCACAGAAGACATAACAGGGAAAAGGAGGTACCTTTAAGCCCTAGAATGACTAGAAATGCTGCTAAGAAGAAAGATGGTATGGTCATGTCAGTTTCTGGAATTCCAGATAGTATGCTGGCTTCTTAAACTTCCCCCTCATCACCCAAATGAATTGCTTAACATGGAATGTTAGAGGGGTGGAATCTACTAAAGCTAGGTTACTTTCTATAACTAAGCAATAACAGATTCACATTTTAGCTGTTGTTGAACCTATTTGTGCTTATAATAAGGCTGATTCTTTCAAATTTGCTCTTGGCTTTCCTAATGTTTTGTCTTCTGCTCTTAATAAAATATGGGTTTTCTGGTATCCCTGTGTGGTGGATATTTCAGAGGTCACTTTTCATTCTCAGCTTACTCATATGAAAATTAAAAAAGATAGTTTTGAGGGATGGTTCACTGTGATTTATGGAAAGCATAACTACCTTGATAGAAGAGATTTATGGGACTCCTTGGTCAGTATTTCCAACACTATGCAGGAACCCTGGCTCTTGGGGGGAGACTTTAATGCTATTCTGGCTCACAGTGAACATCAGGGGGGTGTTATGCCCAACTTAACTAGTATGCTGGAATTCTCTTCTTGTGTGGCTAATTGTGGTCTTATGGAACCTATTTTCAATGGTCCTTTCTTTACTTGGTCTGGGATTAGATCAAGGGGTTTGGTCAGTAGAAGATTGGACAGATACTTTATCAATCCTAGTTGGAATGATCATTTTAAGAAAATTGAGGTTGATGTAATGGATAAAACCCCATCTGATCATAATCCCCTTCTCATTAGATGTTCAACTGAGGAGCATATGGGTCCCAGGTCATTCAAATTTCAAAATATGTGGGTAAAGCATCCAAATTTTCTCTCTACTGTGCAGGAAAGTTGGTGCAAAAGTCAGAGTGGTGGGGGCATGAGAGGCTTGGTTTACAAGCTTAAGTGTTTAAAGCAGGATTTGAAAGTTTGGAACTAACAAACTTTTGGCAATATTTTTGATGACATTAGCAAGTGTGAAGCAGAGGTCATGCAGGCAGAAAAAAGTTACACATACTCACCTACTGAGGAGAACAGAACTTACTGGCAGCATCTTAGGGCAATTTTCATGTCCAAGCTTAACCTGGAGAGAAAATACTGGAAACAAAAATCTCACATTAATTGGCTCAAGAAGGGGGATGCAAACACTAGTTACTTTCACTCTTTTGTTAAGGCTAGACAAAGAAGGCAAACTATCTCTGCTATTCAAAAGGAGGGGGGACAGATTGTGACTACTTTACCTGATATTGGAGAGACAACTGTTGATTTCTTTTCCAAGCTTTATTCTGTTGATCCTGACATTGATTCAGAGGAGATTCTTCAATTCATCCCTCACCTGGTAACTGAGGAAGACAATCATGCTTTATTGACCCTCCCTCAAGATCAAGAGGTTAAAGATGCAGTCTGGAATCTAAATCCCAATGGAGCTCCAGGTCCTGATGGGTTCAATGGAAAATTCTTTAGGAAATGCTGACATTTAGTTGGGTCAGATCTGGTAAAAGCAGTGCAGGAATTTTTCATGGGCATTAACATACCTAGAGGGGTCTCTGGTAGTTTGGTGGTCCTGATTCCTAAAATTATTAATCCTGACTCCTTTAGTGATTTCAGACCCATTTGCCTTTCCAATTTTATTAGTAAAGTGTGCACTAAAGTATTGGCTGATAGACTGTCTTTACTTCTTCCTAAATTAGTTTCTCCTGAACAAATTGGGTTTATGAAGAATAAAGACATGGTGGATCATGTCTTGATTGCTCAGGAAATGGTTCATTCCTTAAACAAAAAGGTGCGGGGCTCAATTGTGATTGTGAAACTTGACATGGCCAAGCTAGATTTTTGATAGACTATCCTGGAGATTTATTTCTGATATTCTGGCTAGATTTGGTTTTTCACAGATGTTTATTCAAATTATTATGAACAACCTACAAGCTACATTTCTCTCCATTATCATTAATGGTGTGCCACAAGGTTTCTTTAAACCTAAACGAGGAGTTAAGCAAGATGATGCCCTCTCCCCTTTTTTTATTTATTTTAGCATCTGAAGCTTTTTCCAGGGGTCTAAAGTGGTATATGGAGTCAGCATCTATCAAGCAGTATTGGATGGGTGCTACTGGATATCCCTTATCCCATTTGGGATTTGCGGATGATCTTCTTATCTTCCTTAATGGGGAAACTAGATCATTATTGCAATTAAATAATTTTCTGAAAGCTTACCAAAAGGCTTCAGGGCAGTCCATTAATCTCCATAAGAGTTCCTTTCTGTGTGGAACACGATCCAGAGCTAGTTAGATTTCTAATATTTTTGGGATGAAAGAAGCCATTCTTCCTGTGAAGTACCTGGGAGTTCCCCTGCACAAAGGGATAAATAGAGTCAATTATTGTATGGATTTAATTCATAAATTTGACTCAAAGTTTACAACTTGGAATCAGAAGCACTTATCTATGGGAGGAAGGTTGATTCTGATCAAGCATGTTTTAAATACTATCCCTCTTCACATATTGGCAGTTGACAGACTTCCAAAAAGAATCATATCTATTCTGGAAAAAAAGATGGCAGATTTCTTCTGGGGTTCCTCTGCTGATAAGAAAAATTATCATTGGTTAAAATGGGAGCACCTCTGTTTTCCTACTGAGGAAGGAGGAATTGGTATTCGTAGCCTGTCAGATATTATAAAAGCTTTTACTTTGAAACTATGGTGGAAATGGAAATTAGGTGATTCAGTTTGGGCTCACTTCCTAAATGCTAGATACCCCAGAGGTTCTGATATGATTGCTAGAGTGTATGATTCTCCTATTTGGAGAAGAATTTGCTCAATAAATGAACTAGCTATCCCTCTTTGTGGTGTGAATAATGATGACAGTATTTATTGGGGACCTACAGTTGATGGTATTTTTTCCATTAAATCTGCTTACAATCAGACAAATTATCATTTCTTGGTGGCTTAAAGCAGGTTCTAAAAGGTTGAATGATACTTTTAAACACTGTTTACCAGGGATTATTTGTTGGCAGATATGGAAATCTTATGCTAGTCTGGTTTGGGGTTCAGATGGCATATCTCCTTCTGTGGATTCTCTTATTCATCAGGTTAAATCTTTTACTCAGAACTGGGTATCTAGTCTTTCTTCCAAGAAGATTATCAGTATTAGCGAGATTTTGTATGAAGAGCATCTGATACCTAGATCGTTTCGACTACCCCGGCCCTCGATTAAAGCTATAACTTGGAGAAAACAAAAAGGAGGCTATAAACTTAACATAGACGTTAGTTATACACCTCAGAGAGTCGCTGGTGGTGCTATTTTGAGGAATGGAGAAGGTAAGATGGTCATGGCGACCTCCTTCCTGATTTCTGCATCTTCAGCTTTTGAAGCAGAGCTGCTCTCGGTGATTCATGCTACGGTCTGGGCGATTGAAGCTGGATTTGGGGATTTTCAAGTTGAAACTGACTCCAGGGAAGCGTTGGTTCATCTGCATCGAAACGGAAATGGGAGGTGGAGCGGAGAGATAAGATCGTTGTTGGATATGTCTGATAGCAGAGGGGTTTCCTATTTTGCTATTTTGAGAGAGGCAAATTGGGTAGCCCACTTCATTGCTACCACTGCGATGGACCGGTCAACTTAAAAATCTAAAAGGGGTTTGACTAAACGGCATAAACAAACCTAATATTTTTATAAACCCATTTGAACTAACTAATATTTAAATTTAACTAATATTATCACTCAAAATCCTAAATTAACGATATTACCAGTAATTGAAAAATTAATATACATTTCCAAACGAATTTCAAATATATGCACAATAAATTATAACATCACCAACATTTGAAGTTAAATATATTGTTAATTATTTAACAACCTGACTAACAATTTTAATTATTTAAAACGAAAAACAAAATAATATTTAGCATTAAAAAAGATACATAATTCAAATGACATACCTTATGTGCATAGTCACAGAAAGTGACATAAGATTACATCCTTCACTTTCAAGAGATACTGTATCATACTCTGATTGAATTTCAACTGGTATGAGTTTCCGGTCATCGGAGCTGTGTAGTCACGGTCTTTGTCACGAAAAGCGTGTGTGACAAAGTTTTGTCACGGATTTGGTCCGTGACAAATAGTTTTGGTGACACGTGAGATAAATCCGTGACAAATGTTTTTGGTGACATGTGGGATAAATCCATGACAAACATGTCACGGACCAAATCCGTGACAAAAATTCGTGACAAAAATGTTGTTTTTTGTAGTGAACATTAGTAGTATTATGAATATTGTACTTTAAAACATTTATGATTGATAACTCTTGATAGTGCAACACAAAGTTGACCATGAGTAAATACTATTAAATGTAGTCCAACGTGCAACAAAGATCAACTTTGACATGTGTTTATTGTCATAGCATAAGAGCGAGCGTCACGATCAAAATTGTCTTCTTTGAAAGTGTTAATTTATTTTTCACTCCTCTGGTCATTCACGTAATTAACTTATTTTTCAAAATGTTAATTTATTTTTCTCTCCGCATTAATACAACTTTAAATTTGGCTTCAAATCCGTATCTCCATAAAAACTTTGACCAACTTGATGTAAAAAAGTAAGGTTTTTAACATTATTACACAACACCCAATATGTTATGGAATTAGTTGTCACATAATTTGCATGAAGTGAAACGGTGGGTTGTTAGCAAAATTTGCTCACATTAATTTCGATCTCAACTACCACACACACTACATCCCCATATATACTCATATATATATATATAGAAAGACTTTAATTAGCGTATATAAGTACATGCATATACATATATAAATTTAATTAATAATATTGACCAATTGATTGAAATCCTAGCTAGCTCTTTAATTTATGATGGCCTTGGTTCAGAAACGTCCTTTCACTGTAGCCATAACGATAATAGGGTTGACCTTGATGGTGGCATGCAATACTGCAGAGGCGGCGGCGCAAACTCTTGAAGCTGGCGGCGGCGGCGGCGTGAGTCCAATTTCGTCAACGGCAATACAACTAGGTCGTTGCCTGGTCACGTGTGGGACCGGCATTCTTTCCTGCGGTGGCACGTGCGGCTTCAAGACAGACACCACCGAAGCCATGGGGTGCTGGACCGAGTGCGGCACCACCAACATGGATTGTTTAGGAGCTTGCCTCGACTCCACTTAGCTACCTACCTACCTTTGTTTATTGCGCATATACATATGTGTGTGCGCGCCCAAATTAAACTCGTAAAATAATTAAATAACATATGTAACTCATACATAAATAAAGCTCGTTCCACGAATAAATTATGAAAAACTTCAAATATTTGTGCCCAAGCCATATTATTTTTCTAGCTAACAAAAGCATGCATGTAGTTGGGGGCATTTGGAACCGATTCTGCTTCTGCTTCTTTTTTTAAGTGAGAAGCAGAATAAGAATTTTCTGCTGTTTGAGAAAGTGATTTTGTCTGGAGTGTTAGATATTGGTTCTTCTGTATGTAACAAAGAATCCGTTTGGAGAGTTTGGGGATAATTTTCTTTTAAACATGCACATATGCTTTTATATGACTAACCCAGAGAAAATATTTGGAAGAAATGGGAGACCATGGCAACACAATAATTGGATTATTAATTAATCACATAAAAGAGAAAATCAACAAACTTATCAAGTTGAGAGCTAGCATACCTAGGAGAAAGGCCGGTGAAACACTCATTGGGCCGGGAAAGAGAAGTGGGCTGGTGAAACACTCGTTGGGGAACAGAAGTGCCGGCAGCTGGAGAAGCGCTCGCCGGAGTAGCCAATAATATTGAGATCTAGGTGATGTTATACATGAATCATGAATGTCAATATTGTGGTGGTTTTTTGGGCATGAAGAGAGAGTCAAAAGATGGTCTGCGAAGCAAAGGTCAAAATTCACATTGTGTTGCAATCAGGGTAATGTTGTGCTCCCCAAAATACAACAACCACCAAAACTTTTAGAAGATTTGATATTTGGCCAGGACAAGCGGAGTAAACATTTCCTTGAAAATGTGAGATCATATAACTCAATGTTCTCATTCACATCTATGCAGTGGATAAGTTGATTGTGAGATAAATCAAGGGAGAAATCCTCTTGATGGAGTATATGGCCCGGGAACCCCCAACCCACAGACTCCTACTACTCCAATCAAGGCCCAACAGGCCCAGAAGGCCCAACATGCCCAAATCACAGCGCCCAGAGTACCAAGCAGCCCACAATGCGCACCAGGGGTGCCTTCGGCCCCCTGGCTGAAGGCTCTAACTCTCACGGGAGGGCCAGGACAACAAAACAAAGTTACTGGGAAAAACGCCGAAAATCAGTAGCCCTCGGCACCAAGGGGGTCCCCGGTATTCAGATCCCTCGGCTGGTCCTCTACAGCCGAGGGCACCTTTCCCGACAAGATATCTGCACCACATGCGTACAGATCACCGTACCCTGTACAACGTCCCATCCAACAGCCGCATTAAATGCGGCCACATGCGGCTGCCAGCGCCAACCAGTTGAGGTGACCTCTCGGCCAATGGACGCTTGACACGTGTCCCTGTCCGGCATTTATTGCTACTATAAATAGCACCCCATTTCCCCATTTGTAACCACGCTGAAAACGCTCCACACTTTACAATATACTTTCTCTCTCTATATTTACTTGCTCTGACTTCTCTCTTATTATTCTCCGTAATAATCCCTCGGATAAGCTACCCCCCCGGGTACAATATCCATCATTTGGTGCTCTCGTTGAGAGGTCGAACAATCAAGTAAGAAACCCTCCCCCTCGACCAAACACAAAAACACCCACCCAAAATGGTGAGAACAACTCGTGCCAACTCCAAGAATGTAAAGGACAGGAACCTGGCCCTCGGCGAGGTCGACGTCCCCGAAGCCTCCAACAGGGCTCCCGGGGGCGGCGTCATCGCCGGGATGGACCAGACGGCTGTCGACCTACACCAGCAGATTCAGCAAAATGCCCCCGATGCCCGCCTCGGCATCGAGGCCAAGAAAAAGGACCGGAGCGAAAATCAAATTAGCCCCCCGGTCATCACCATCGACGTTCAATCGGCGCTCTCCGCCTTCATCCAGATGCTCACTCAGAACCCGGGTGCCTTTGGCACTTTGGTTCCCCACCAGCCTCAGGTTGGGGAGAATATTCTGCCTCCCCCTCATCCACGACCCCTCGGTAACCCAGTCCTCCGGATGGGGAACTCCGAGGGGGTCGTGGCCCAAGATACGGCCTCCCAGGAAGTCCAGTCCCGGGACCGCCACGACGTGAACAAGGAGCACCCCCGGACCTCCTCCCTCGAGAGGCTCGGAGGGGCGCAAGACCGCCGAGGGGTCCAAGACCGCCGAGGGGTCCAAGACCGCCGAGGGGTCCAAGACCGCCGAGGGGGGAGGGCGTTCCAAAGGCCTCAGGAAAGTGGCGGGTCCGTTTCCAGGGCCAATGAGAGACGTCCCCCTCGGGACAAGGGCAAGGCACCTCTCCATGCCGACGAGGCACGCCATCAAATCAATCAAGCCCACTCGGCCCGGGTCCATTCGCAGGGGGCGGAGGCCCTCCAGAAGGACCCCCAGGATGAAATCATTGCGGCCCTCCAGCGCCGGCTTGACGAGATGGAGGCCACCAAAGCCCACGCCACCACTTCCGCCCCTCATACAGACCTCAAGTATGAGGCGATGATGGCGAAGATGGAAGAAATGCAGAAGAAGATAGCCGAGGGCTCCGGGGAACCCACCATACAGCTCCGGACCCGAACGCCATTTACCCCAAGGGTATTGGCGGCCCGGATCCCGGAGAAATACCGAGGGCAGCTCATCAAGCCCTATGACGGAAAGACTGATCCCCAAGAGCACTACAGCAGCTATCAAAACAGTATGATGATGGTGGGGGCATCGGATGAATATTTGTGCCGCTGGTTCCTCTCCACCCTAGAGGGGCCGACGTACGAATGGTTCAACCGATTGCCCGAGGACTGCATTGACTCGTGGCAAGAACTCGCCCAGCGATTCTTGACGCAATTTGCGGGGAGGCGCCGCACAACAAAACACTTCTCCCACTTGCTAACAGTGAGGCAGAGGAAGGAGGAGACCCTTCGGGAATTCCTGGAGCGCTGGAGGACGGAGGCTGATAAAGTTGACGGCGCTGACGACGGGACCCTCCTGGCCCTCCTACAAACAGTACTCCGCCCCGGGAACTTCTCCAGAAGCCTCATCATCGAACCCCCCGCGATTATATAAGGGCCTTGCAGCGGGGGGACCGGTACGCCGAGGCCGAGGAGGTGGAGAAATGCCACCATGTCCCAGACCAGCAACGCCCTCGGCCAGAAGACAAAGGTAACCGAGGGCCGGGGGCTCCCCGCAATCATCCCAGGGATCCTGCCCCCTCCGGTGATCGTCCCCGGCACGGCCAAGCCAAGCCTGGGGGAGGTTTCAAGGGGAAACCGAGGGCTTGGGCACAACCTGTCCTCCTGAAGCACCCTCGGACACCATTGACGCATCCCGTCAGCGTTATTTTTTATTTTGCTGAAGAAAGGGGCCTCGTGGAGCGAGATTCACGCGCGCCCTCGGAGGTATTTGCCATCAATCCAAACTACCCCTACTGTCGTTTCCATCTACACCAGGGGCACAGGACCGATGATTGCCATCAGCTGAAGACGGCCATCGAGAAATTGATACAAGCGGGCCATCTGTCCCAGTTTGTCCAGGGCCCTCAGCAACAGGCCCCCCCTCATCAGGGGCCATCCCGAGGGCAAACTGCGAGAGGGAATGCATGGGTCAACCCCAACACCATCCCCCTCGGCAAGAAGAGGGAGATTGGAAATCTGGAGGAGGAGGAGGAGGAGTACCCCCGGTATCAAGAAAAGAAACGCCACATCCTCATGATTACGGGGGGAAATACCGGGGTGACTCTACAAGTCAACGAAAGAAGTGGGCTCAATCACTTTACGTGGGGGAAGTCACTCATATGCCCCCGGTAAAGTGGCTGAGGGAGGAACCCATTATCTTCACCAACGCTGATCTCCCCCCAGTATCCTCCCCCCACAGGGATGCCCTCGTCATCCGGACAGAGATCAACGACACCATTATCCACAGAACTTACATTGACACGGGCAGCTCCGTCAATGTAATGTACCTCAGCACCTTCAGAGAGCTGCATCTGGAGAGGGGGTCCCTTCGGCCCATCAAGATCCCTCTTGCCGGCTTCACCGGCGACACCATTGATTCTGAGGGGGTCATAACCCTCCCGTTCATCATCGGCGACGACCTCCATAGAGCCAAGCTCGAAGTGGAGTTCATCGTCGTCAACATCGACTGCGCCCACAACATCATCCTCGGCCGGCCAGCCCTCAAGGATCTCGAGGCCGTCATCTCCATGAGGCACCTCTGCCTCAAATTCCCAGCCAAAGGGGGGATTGGTTACTCGAGGGGAAACCAAAAGCTCGCCCGCGCTTGCTACCTTCAAGTTACAAAGAAGGTTAGCAAGACGGAGTTCCGCGTTGACACCATCACCGGAACTGTGGAAGCGGAAGAAATGAGGCCGAGGGCTGAACCAGCCGAGGAGGTAGAAGACTTCGCGCTCGATCCGGCTAAGCCGGAGAGAGTCGTGAAGATTGGAGCCAAGCTCCCTGAAGATTTGAAGACCGACATCATCAGCGCCCTCCGAGCCTACTCCATTGTTTTTGCATGGGGGCCAGAGGACATGCCGGGGATCAGCCGAAGGGTCATCACCCACCGCCTCTCGGTGGACCCTTCAGCCAAACCAGTACAGCAGCGGAGGAGACCCCTCTCGGCCGAGTTGAGGGAATTCGTGAGGAAGGAGGTCACCATGCTCCTTTCTATCAAACACATCAAGGAGGTCAAGTACCCCTCATGGCTGGCAAACGTAGTCCTCGCACAAAAACCGCCCTCATTCCGCATGTGCGTGGACTACACGGATCTCAACAAGGCGTGTCCCATGGACCCCTTTCCTTTGCCAAATATTGACCAACTTGTGGATGAAACCGCGGGGTGTGAAATCATGTCATTCCTCGACGCATTCCGCGGATATCATCAAATATACATGCATGAGGAGGACGCTGAAAAAACAGTCTTCATGACTCTCGAGGGCATCTTCTGCTACCTTGTCATGGCCTTCGGCCTGAAGAACTCAGGTGCCACCTACACGCGGATGGTGGCTAGGGTATTTCAAGCTGTCCTAGGGCGCACCATGGAGGCATATGTTGACATATGATCGTCAAAAGCAAGCAGTCAGCAAACCATGCTGACGACCTGAGGGAGATCTTCGCCATCATGCAGAAGTTTAGCCTTCGGCTGAACCCGAAGAAGTGCACCTTCGGCGTC